TGGCAGTGGCATAAATGGAAAAGTCAGGGGGTGGGGGATGGGCTAATTACCGTGTGAGATCTCGCCAGATCCTGGAAAAAGGTTTCACAAGATCCCACAATACATATTATTTTTTTCCAAACTTTTTTTTCTCCATGTCCGCATCCTTTTAAAGAGATTTAAATCTGCTAAAATTGCATAAGTGTTGGCATTTTTAGACTTTGATTAGATTGAAGTAGCTTAACTTGCAAGCTATATCATTTGAACATTAGTCCAACTGTCAAAACAACAACAGTAAAAACAACAATAAAAAAAAAAAAAACATTTCAACGGTGCCTATTTGTGTACTATCTCAGACCCATCAGCCTATATGGGATCAATTGTGTTTGCACTTGTCTAACCCATTTAGTAAACCAAAATGGGCCCTATTTGTGTTGCACATTTTAAGCCCGTGCACTCATTTTCCATTCGTGACCTAGGAGCCACCACATAGGGAGCCCACCTGGGTCTGCCCATGCAGGACCAACTTAGTTGACCCAAGTGGGCCCCAGATAAGATGCCCATTTTGGGTCCATGCCCACTTGGTACCCCTGTAGCCCAAGTGTAACCCATGTGGGGCCCACATAAACATGTTGGATAGGATATGGCCTGGTTTATATCTGTATACCGTATTGGTATTTCTGTAAAGCCGCTTTGAGACACTTTCTGTTGTAAAAAGCGCTATACAAATAAAATTGAATTGAAACAATTTTTGTAGCTCTTGGTGCTGATGAGAAATGGGTACTGTGGCAGTGAATTCTGGGAATTGGAATTTGTGGCCAAATTCCAATTCTGAAATTCTGACTTTGATGTGATAGAACCCCCCTCTCTTGGAGTTGGTATTTTTTGGACTCACTCTTGGACATGGGTCATGGGACATGGGCCTTGGATGATCAGGATGTCTTGTGTGGAATTCCTGGCAGAGTAATGGGTCGAAGACATCTTGGGCTGGGTGCTAACTCCATTCTTCTGGGCCATACTCTCCCCATACGTCACGAGTCCAGTTGATACATGACACCGTTGATGCATCGGGAAACTTTTTAATGGGCAGGTGAACCCAGTGAACATTTTAAAAAAGTGTGAATAAAATCAGTTGAAAGTCTATGATTGTTTTGGAGACAGGCTAGTCTCTTATGTCATTCACATTGGGTTATTCCATGATTCCCTCCTTGCTTTTTATGTAATATAAATTTGATCTGAGGCAAATAGGGTTGTTACGGGACCAAGATTTCAGTAGTTGGTACCAATACCAGTAAAATTCCACAGTACTCTGTACCAATTTCAGTATCAAAGCAAAACACAAAAACATGCTAATTGGACAACACACTATTTCATTAATAAAGTTAAATATGAGTGTAAAATAAATTTTTTAAATGCCATTCTGTATACTTCAAGTATTTCATTATTAAAGCTACTAGAGTTATCCAGCCAAGAGTAGAAATATTTTCCTGACTGACTGATATTAAAAACAAACCACACATCTATTATTTTCTAACACATAAATTTCAGATATATAGGTCAGCAAAAAGCCTCTGGTGTGTAAAATTCCGCGAGCTCCTACACAACAAAAGCAAATTAACAATGGTCATTTTAAATAATAAGTAACAAAACCAAAAACTGACATAAATCTGTCTTTAAGGTGCTTTAATAGGTTATATGTGTTTCCTCCTTTCATCACAAAACTTAAATTACACTTTAAAAGTTTTTATTTCCATGTGGCTCTTTGCACCTTTCTAGTCCACAAGCTTTTTTTTTTTTTTTTTCACCAGCAGCTCCGGTGGTTGCCATGGCTGTGCCTGAAACCGCATGTATTTTGCCTCATATATAGTAAATAAGTATGCGGTTTCAGATGCAGCCATGGCAATCGGTGGAGCTGCTGCTGCGGTGGCTCAAATGTCTTCTTGTTGCACAGTTCACCCATGAAAAGTACCCGACTGACTGACGACTATCTGACCACTATCTGACAGAAAGCACATCAGTGGTAGTGGCTACTACTGGTACTTATGACAATCTGGTACCATCTTTTTTCATTTTCGTACTGATTTGGTACCAAAGTACCGGTACTTTTGACATTTTCTCCTGTAACAGAATTTGCTTTCTAGTAGTTTGGCCAGCACATGCTCACATGACTTTCAAGAGTGGGGGAGTAGATCAGAATACCATCACTATATGCAATGATACATTTTTCCAGCATGTTGCACAAGACATCGTTTATCAACACCTGAAAGACAGAGGGTGTGTTAGAGAGCCCATATAGCATGACGCAGTATTTAAAATGAGCAGAGGTGGTGCTAAAAAGTGTCTTCCATTTGTCCCATTCCCAAATGTGAAAGAGGTCATAAACACGTGAGGTGGAGCTTAGTGAAAATATGTTCCTCTGAGTTGTTGGAGGCAGGGATAACTATATTTTAAAGTCATTTGGTTAAATTTTTGGTAAGCAATACAGGGATCAAAGTCTGTATAAAAAAAATCTAGCACAAGCAGGAGAGGTGGACGGACCGATATAACCCAGGTTAAGTGCCTCATTGATTTAATCCTCCATATGCAGGATGGTGAAGTTGTTTGGGTGAGTTGGAGGTAAACCAGAGACTTTGGGATTTCTATGTTGGTGTTGGTCACCGTTTGACAAGGTTGTTGGAGGCACAAATCATGAGGGTAGGGTGACCATTGAATGACTTCTCCTTGGGTTCAGGAAATGTGAGAGTTATAGTTGAAACCATGGGAGGCCTAGGACTATGGAAAACTTAGCTGATGATATTTGTTCAGAATGCACGGCCCTGACTTTGAGTGTGGCTTCCAATGTGCAGTGAGTGATAGTTCCTCTTATTATCCTCCTCCTATCCACCTCCTCTTGAAGATCAACATTTTGGAATGGCCAAGTCAGGGCCCAGATCTAAATCTATTGAAAACCTATGAAATGACAGAGGGCTTTGCACAAGAGATCCTCTTGAAACTTGATTTGGAGTATTTTTGCAAGGAAAAGTGAAATAAAATTGCTGAGTGTTGAATTACAAGCAGAATTACTTTAAGAACATATTAGTTAACGGGTGTGCACACTTATGATTCCCCCCTTTTTTTCTGTAAAATGTTATATATGTTTTTCACTTGAATATTGTTGGTTGTCCTATAGAACATTAAAGGTTTGTCTTGGTTTCATTTTTCATCACAAAAACGTGCAAATTTATATCCACTGTATCTTCATGCTGAACGAGTCAGAAGGCAGTGATGACATCCCCCCCTAACTCTCTTCTCTCTCTCTCTCTCTCTCTCTCTCTCTCTCTCTCTCTTCCTCTAGCTGTTTTTTGTTGTGTGTATTCCATTGTTCCCTGCTGATTGAAATAACTCTGCTTCCCTGTGTCTGAGGGGGAAAAAAGGGCTGGGTCATGCAAGTAGAGCATATTTAATCGTATTTTATGGTATCCTTTTGTATCAGGCCTGAATTGGTAAATTGAAGTAGATAAACCAGTGTTTCTTTTATGCTGTGGTCATGGTTTTGGTCCACTTGATCCCTTAAAGACTGGATCCAAAACAGGATCTGGCACCTCTCAGATTTAGAGTGCCTGTGTTCCATAACTTGAGTCTGTAAATCAGCTTTTGTTTTCCTTTTAATGAAAACATTAAAAGTAATAAAGTAATAATAATAAAAATTATATTTATTGATCACTCTTGTCACCTCCCTTTCAAAAAATACAATTGGCTTATTTCCCTAATGACCGGGTAAATTAGTCATAGCATACTGAGTGTATCCATCACATGTGCTCATGCATCATGGGTATGGTGGAATAATTGGCGACTGACTTTGCTGTCACATGTATTATGGTCATCATCTTAAGGTTAGGCTGTGGTTGCATTCAACACTACTTTATCCATAAAAGTGTTTGGAGCACTTCTGTGGCAGTGGTCCTTTTCCCTCCCTGTGTATTTGATGGACAACATTTCCATTGGTGTACCAGTGCCTCATGTTTAACAAATTAAGCAATGCCGATCACCTTTATCCTAGGATGAAACATGTATAATATTCTCATTTTAGGGGGCTCTTCCAGGATGAAAATGTTCTCAACCATAGGGCACAAACAATTTTTTTTTCTCCTAGGCTTAGATGTGGGGCAAAATTGAGTAGCTGATTTGTCTGTGTTTACTGGTCATTCCAGTTAAATTCACTAGCAAATGGCTGAGGGGCACAACATGCTCCCTGCAGAAGTAGGGTACTGTGTTTTGTGTGTGTGTCTATGTGCGCAATTGCACTGGGTTAATGCCAGGTCTTCTTAGGCCTAACCTTTTTATTAGGGTTTGTAACATTCATGGTATTTTAATAGGTTGCAATGGCGACTATGACAATGTTTTGTTTAGCCTAAGGTTACAAATCGATGTCAAACATCATGGAGAATAATATAATTAACATTGGCCTCAGTTAGTGTGTCATAATGGTGTTTATCTTAATATTACTTAGGCCTGGACTCATTCTGTGTCGTGTGTGCGAGAGAGCATATGAGAGATTGCTAATAGTATTACATTTTAATATAGCTATATACTGTACTATTACATTTTATTGTGTTTTATTTTATTATTATTTTTCGCTTAATCGATTAGTCAGATTGGGGCAGGGGGCAACTTTCAGTGCCTTTTTTTTTCGTTTATCTAAAATAAAATCCACAAACTGAGTGTTACAAATATAAACTTCAGACTAAAACCTTACACAACTGTTTGTCCAATTATATAAGACTGAAAAGAACCCAATAAACACAGACACACACCAGAATATATATTATTTATTATTAATATATACAGTATCTTACAAAAGTGAGTACACCCCTCAAATTTTTGTAAAGATTTGATTACATCTTTTAATGTGACAACACTGAAGAAATGACACTTTGCTACAATGTAAAGTAGTGAGTGTACAGATATATATATAAAATATGAGAGAGAGAGAATTTTATTTTAATTTTAATTATACATATAATTTATACATATAAATTAGGGCGCACTGTGGCTTAGTGGTTAGAACGTTCGCCTCACACCCCCATGGCCGGGGATTCGATCCACTGTGGCCCTGTGTGTGCGTAATTTGCATGTACTCCCCATGCTGCAGAAAATATGTAATCATTCTGAGTCTTTGGCAATGATGCTGAACAGTAGATCTCTCTGCTACTGGGATAATGGATAAAGATGACTGCCTTTCAAAGCGTTACTCATCAGCTCATTTATTTATAAGTTTTGTTTGCAGACCATGTGATTAAACAGTCCATACAGGTACAGAAAATATGATTTGCAAGACAATTCCTCCTGAAAATGAAAGCAGTGGAAGACTGGTGTAACAAATGTGTGAGATAACCTTCCTCCAGGGGAAATGATATATGAAATCTGATCACACCTACTGGGATGTTTTGGGAAGTGGGAGGAAACCTGAGAACCTGGAAAAAACCCAAATAGACACAGGGAGAACATGTGAAACGCAATGTGAAGCTGTGACACCTGATCCTAAACCAGTTATGTACTCGGAAGGATCAGAAGGGGGTGCAAATTCTTTTCAAGAAAAAAACAGACAGGGCATTATTTTGGTCCTTGGTGCATTTTATTGCTTTTCAAATAGAATGTTCATAAATGGAAAAGCTCTGCGTTCTCTCTCCCTCTGTTTTTTGGTCTTGCTGGAAGAGGCGGAGCTTACCCTGCCTTTTATCTAGCGGTCAGTATAGACGAGTAATGCCAACTTAGCGACTTTTCAGACCTCTTTAGCCACATTTTTGCAATGAAAAAAAACACCTAGCGACAAATATAACGACTTTTTGGACAAACTTTAGCAACTTTCCAAATATCACCAGTACTGTCCTGCAAGTGTGAGGTCTTGCTTTCATGCAGCACTCACACCTCTCTCTGCATCTGCTCTGTTCAGTGAGTGGCTGAGAGCAGGATATTTAACATCATGGGGGATGTGCCCTTCGTCACAATTGACGTCATTCATATGGGAATGTTTTTAGAACATTTACATTAAATTTATTACATTTATTCACTTAGCAGACACTTTTATCCAAAAGCGATTTACAAATGAGAAAAATACAAGCAAAGCGATATATCAAGCAGAGAACAATACATGCTACCATACAAGATCCATTAATTGAGTTCTAGAAGAAGCAAAGTGCACAGAGTAGAGGTGTAAGTGCAATTTTTTTTATGAGTTGGTTAGGTGTTCACGGAAGATGAAGATGGTGAGAGATTCTGCAGCCTGGATTGAGATTGGAAGTTGAGTGAGAACTACTAAACGTCAGTCGATAATAGATTGCGAGAGGGAACGTAGGTCTTCAGGAGAAAGTTGAGGTAGGAGGGTGCTGTTCCTGACAAGGTCTTGTAGGTGAGCATCAAGGCCTTGAATTTGATGCGGGCTGCTACAGGAAGCCAGTGGAGGGAGATGAAGAGGGGTGTGTCATGGGTTCTCTTGGGCTGGTTGAAGATGAGGCGCGCTGCAGAATTCTGAATCATCTGAAGGGGTTTGATGGAGCTGGCTGGGAGGCCTGTAAGCAGTGAGTTGCAGTAGTCCAGTGTAGAGATAAGAGCCTGGACTAGTATCTGTGTAGCCTGTTTGGTGAGGTAGGGTCGGATTTTCTTGATGAAGGCAAGAAAAATGGAATCCAACATGTTCCCTTTCAAAGGGAACTTCAACGTTGCATTTAGCATAACAGTATGGGGAAGTGCCTTGCGCACGTGACCGGTATCTGAAGCATGTGTAAAATCATGCCTCTACTTATAGGCCTGCCATGATCAGACGACGTGGCATATATTTTTTTTTTTTTTATATATATATATAATGGCACCTGTGAACCACGCTGCCAGCCTTATTATCTTCAGCGAGACTGCATGTCTGTTGTTTGTGTGACAAAAAACAGTTAACTTCTACTCTATATTTTCTCAAAATCTCTAAACATTTATATCCCTTTTTTAGAAAAAAAAAGAAAAGAAAAGAGAGGGAAGTAATGAGCACGAAAGAAGTCAGGAAGTGTGTTACGACATGCTCCCGTTTCATCACGGGGGGAAAGTGCACACTTTCTGGGTGAAGTGTTTAGGAGTGTAGCATGCAATGGCAGTCTCAAGTGGCTGTGCATGGTAATGCCTACACTAAGCAGCTCGGCTGTTGCCGAGGCAGCTAGCCATCTCAAATTCTGGAGATCTCTTATGGATCCGGTAGAGGAGCCTGAGACAAGCGCTGCTCTATCTCTTGCTCTGTCTTCTGGGTTCGGCTCTTTTTTTTTTTTTTGGAGCTCGCATTGCGACTCCAAAAAAAATAATAGTAATAATTCCTCTCTGATTCCGATGAGCCAGAAGGATGTGCAAAAAACTGAGAACAGCATATAAAGAGCTGCTTGAAGTGATTACTAAGGCTGGATGAGCCTTTTTCTCCCCAGTGAAAGTAAATCCCTCACACTGCAGAAACTCCCTTTCTTCCAGAAGTGCATAACAAAATATCAGGCTTCTGGTGGAAAACCATGCATAAGCCATATTTATAACCCCACGATGTTGGATTATTCGGCCATTGTGGGGAATGAACTGCATGGGTATTTATTTAGTGGAGCCCGGGCCAGCACTACTGTGAGGGAGACCGAGAAGATGAGTATGGCAGCCTGCCAACCCCTGCAAGACAGCTAGGGGAACCAGGCCGCCACAGTCACGGCCTGCTACTCGGCCTGATCTGAGAATGGTCATGAAGGCCAAGCAGTCAAAGAAGAGCGGTCCTGAGGGGCCATGGAGGGACGTATCAGGGGACATGAGGTTGTTAGGGCAGGTAGCCCCCAGTGCTACTGTAGGTCCACCCCTAGCCAAGGCGGTCCCCATGTTTTCAGTGTTCTCTGGTCAGAGAGCTGTCACAGGGCAACGAAAATCTGATGCTTTCCCTCTAATAGAATGTGGAATAGTTAACGTCACTAAAAGGTTTTTACTCCCACCTTTTTTGAAAAGGTGCGGCCAATTTTAGATCTGCATCATCTGAACTGTGTTCTTCGGACATACAGGTTCAAGATGCTGACGCTCAAACTTATCATGCCACAGATTCAGTTCGAGGACTGGTTTGTGACGATAGATCTGAAAGATGCATATTTCCACATAGGAATATCGCCTAGCCACAGGAAGTTCCTTAGGTTTGTGTTTGGAGACAACACAGCAATTTCGAGTTCTTCCCTTTGGGCTAGTTTTATACCCTCGCACCTTCACAAAGTGCATGGATGCTGCTCTGGCTCCCTTGCGACTCCAGGGCATCTGTGTACTAAACTACCTGGATGACTAGTTAATTCTAGCATGATCCAGGGAACAGGTGATTCAACATTGAGATGTTGTTCTCGCCCACATGTGGAGCTTGGGACTATGGTTGAACCTCAAGAAAAAAATGCTTTCTCCAGTGCAGAGGAAAAATTTTCTAGAGATTATATGGGATTCTACTACAATGAGTGTTTATATCCCCAACACGCGTAGGATCGAAGCTATCAACTTTGAGCAAGATAAAAATAGGTTTGGGCATCCCTCATCTCCACGAGAGACTGTTGGGCCTTATGGCAGCAGCAGCCAACGTCATACCGTTGGGCCTATTGCACATGAGACCATTTTAGTGGTGGCTGAAAAGTCAGGGGTTTCATCCAAGGATGAAACCTCTGAGAGTAATCAGTGTCACGCAGTGATGCCTGCAGTTTCTAGCCTCGGGTCACTGTCTGGGGGTGTCTCCTTACCGCAAGACCGTAATGACAGACGCGTCCCTCACGGGATGGTGTGCAGTCTTAAATGGCTGTCCAGCTCAAGGTCTTTAGAGCGGCCCTCATCTGGAGTGGCATATAAATTGCCTAGAGATGCGGGCTGTATTCCTAGCACTGAAATTCTTTCTTCCACAGTTGAGAGGTCACCATGTGCTAGTTGTGTCAGACAACACAGTGGTGGTCTCATATATCAACCACCAGGGAGGGTTACGTTCACGCCCCCTGTTCAGGCAGGCATAAGTAATCCTTCTCCGGGCAGAGGGAAAGTTCTTGTCAGTGAGTGCAATGTACATTCCAGGCAGCCGGAATGTAGGGGCAGACATCCTGTGGTCCCAGGGGTTGGAGGCTCCATCCACAAGTGGTGGAGTCTATATGGTGGAGGCTTGGACAAGCGGAAGTGTACGTGTTCGCCTCCGAGGAGACAACACACTGCCCTCTGTAGTTCGCCCTCACTCCTCCCACACCATTGGGGCTGGATGCCATGGTGCACACGTAGACGAGGTCACATCTATATGCTTTTCCCCCAATTGCTCTGCTCTCACAAGTTCTAGTGAGAGTTCGCCAAGACCGGCTGCTAGTAGCACCTTGTTGGCCAGCTCAAATATGGTACTCAGAGATAATTTTCCTGCTTGACGGTACTCCTTGGGAGATTCCCATCTGCAGGGATCTACTGGCTTTTTGTCTTGTGGTGTGAGGAACGTCAGCTAGACCCAGTGAACTGTGCAATAGCTACAGTCTTGGAGTTCTTACAAGAATGTTTCTCAGCAGGGTTGGCTCCTTAAACAATAAGGGTTACGTGGCTGCTGTTCCGGCCAGCCACGCCCCGGTTGATGGAGCCTCTGTGGGGCAACATCCTCTAACTTCGAGATTCATGCATGGTGTCAGATGGCTGAGGCCCATCTGCAGGCCACGCATACCTTCCTGGGACCTTTCTGTGGTCTTGGAAGGTCTGTCGGGGGCCACATTTGAGCCCTTAGAGTCTTCTGACTTGTTTGACATGCTTGGCCAGTCCATCAGCTTCTTTAGCAAGGCAGTGGTTGTCTTGGAGTTTTGTTTTGGGTCGTTATCGTGCTGGAATACTGCATACTGATCATGCTCTGCTTCAGTGTGTCACAGTACATGTTGGCATTCATGGTTCCCTCAGTGAATAGACGCATGTGTGCTGCCAGCATTGCTGCAGAGGTTGAAGGGGTGGGGGGTTTAGTTTAAACATTTAATGCCAATCTGTAATTGCATTTTTGCTAATATACAGTATATGGCCAAAGGTATGTGGACCTAAAGATCATGTAGCTGATGTACACATGTACCCATATGTAGGTCTTCCCCAAGCTG